TTTCTTCATCTGAGGATGAAGAAAATTAACTATGGGGTGGCCATAGGAAAAATGATGTTGCATATGATAATTGATCAGAGTTCTTCAGGCTAGTAATAGTCACATTTTTTTAGGAAGGTATGTAGTCAATGTCATTTTAATGTACTTTTCCCAAAACTTAAAGGTTTCATTTATGACATTTTCATAGAGATGTTTGTTACATCTTGTTCTCATTTATTACCCACCGACTTTCCCTGTGCCCTCTACTTCCTTTGAAACACACTTGAAAAATATACAAATGAATATGAACATGCACACACACACGTGTGCACACACATGCCTGCGTGCACATATACCCACACATACACAAAGGTGAAAACATAGGAAGTAAAATGAATATTCCAAGGGGTAGTAATAATATAAAATCAAGTTAGTTAGCAATATTCCAACTATGTCAATGAGTGATAGAGATAATGTTTTGTAAAGCACCATTACAAAAATATTTCTTAATATCAGCGTGATTTTGTCAATTCTATCATGCATCTGTGAATAGAAAACATTAATGAAAGTGGCTACGTAGTCATGAAGTTTTTCATCAGATTTTAGACTATTCTCAGCGTTATAGAAAGATGAATGAAAGTGGCTATGGGTTCATGAAGACGCTCATCAGAGTTTAGAATATTCTCAGCATTATAGAGAATTCACAAAGGTAGTACAGAAGGGCCTGGTGTCCTATGCCCCTGGGAAGCCATTAGTCACAACTAAAAGAGTAATGTTGGCTCACTGCGTCTGAACTCCGCTCCCATATCCAGTTGCTTCACCTAATGTCCTCTCTCTGCCCCTCCCTCCGGTAACCACTTTGTTACCTCTCCTCCTGTCCTTTCCGCTGCGACTTTCTAGAAATGCTCTTGTATTTTGCAGAACCATGACAGTTTTGAGAAGAAGCAGATGTCTGTGTGCAGAGCATCACTCTGCTGGGCTCTGTCTACTTTCCTCGTATTTAAAAGGAGCGTTTGGTTTCTGGAAGGAGTCACCGTGTTATTCTTTTCTTGTTATTGTAAAGATTTATTTGGGCTTTATGTGTATAAGTATTTTGTCTGCATGTGTGTGTGAGAGAGACATGCAGCAGAGGCCAGTAGAGCCCCCAGGAACTGGAGCTACATATGGTTTTGAGTCCTTGGGTGTGTGCTGGGAACAGAATCAGGGTCCTCTGCAAGAGCAGCAAGTGCTCTAACTGCTGAGCGGCCCGTCCAGCACTGAATAGTGCCAAGTTTATTACATGATATCAAAGGCACATGTCAACAGGCTAACTGCTCTTGCTTTGGGTTCCTCTTGTTGTTACCACTCTCCTATCACCTGACTAAAGCATCCCGTGAAAAGGTAGTCTCTCTGCTGGCAAGCAGCACTCGTGCAAAGAGGCTGTCTTAGAGGCAAACGGACTCTGCGTTTACACTGAGCAAGGAAAACAAACAATTCTGTCAGACTTCTTAGCACTAATGCTAGGTTTCATTAAAGGATCACTAACAAATGCTATCAAGAAAGTGCAATGAATTAGGAAGCGGAATGGGTCAAATTCCAAACCAGTGTTAGCTTGAATAGTCACTTTGTGAAAGGGCAACCGATCCCCCTCTCCCCAACACACCCTGCAAACTTACTTAGATTCTGTGCATATGCTGGATTTAAAGACTTTAGTCTCATTCATTGTAGTAAGAGGTTATTTATGACTCGTGTTTAATGCTTTCCCCTATACTATCCACTGAGCCATGTATACAGCGCTGAAGTGGTGTGGAAGACTTGATGTTGTCCCTCTAGCTTTAACCTGTGTATCACAGTGTTTCTTGTGTATGGTTTTAAAGAGTTTGCAAAATACTAAGAAGTGTTTTAATGAATTTTATTCTGTGAAATTTATCACTTTGAACATGTACAATTTCTCACTTCCATGCTCATTCTATTTAGTAATCTATTTCCATATTTTGTATTCCACCAATGTATTTATTAGGGAACCACACACAGTTTCTGACGACATGAGTACAAGAGTAACCATGCTTGGCTATTTCACAATACCAAAATAACTGTGGGTACTCATAACCGAAGAGATAATCCAGGTTCTCTTTGCTGTAGTTTGTTTTTCTGGGGTTTGATTCCATTGAGTAGATTTTATCATTTACCTGTGTACAGTAATAGACTCCCTGGAAGTGCTACAGTTTTTACCGTGTGGTAGATTTGAGCATGACAATACTGTAAGAAAACTCAGAAGTCTCTAAGTGTATCTGAGTTTTTAAAGTAAATCAAATAACAAGTGTTTTCATTTAACTATATTGTGGAGATTTATGGATATTATTGTAAAATGCATATGCATTATACCAATTTTCTTAAACTGTTTTGAATTAATAAAGAATTCTCCCATGTATACCTGTAGACAAGTTGTTTGCTCATTGGTGTACGGCTAGCTGAGTAGAATGACTGTGGATTCTTCATGCCGTGTTGGACCTTAGATTAGTCTTAAATGAACTGACATTTTGGAGGGTGCAGTGGAGAATTTCTGACACTAAATTCAAAGTACCCTCACCACGATTTCTAAGGCAGAAAAAAAAATCACTTCAAAATTGAGTTTAGAGTTCGAAAGAACTTTTCCTCATAGTATTATCATAGAAAACCACATGATAATACTTTTCTGTACTCAGGTCAGAATCAAAACAAAACGGGCTCTCAGCCTCCATTTTACAGCTAAACATTTACAGGGTGTCGCTTGAATACACAAGGATGAGGGAAAGTTGAGGTACTGGAATTGCTTGCAGTTATTTGAAGGGACACTTTATTTCTTCTCTTCAGTACCTTTGTGTTTGATGATAAGGATTGATTAGATATGATGCAAAATTCGTTTTTTTAATTTTGTAATTAATAGTTTTAATTTGTTTTCACCTTAAGAGCACCCATTCTTTACCATTTTATTTTACAATGAAGATAGCTCGTTCAGCAATGAACCACAACCATATATATATAATATATATATATTATATGAAACATTAAAAAATAAAAACAACAACAACTAGTAATCCTGTAGACTGAGCTTCAATCCCTGCTTTCCCAAGACTGGCTTGGCTGTATTTACCCACTTCCGGTACCCACTTCTCCCGTGGGCTGTGGTTGAGTCTTTTGAAGTTGCAAATGCTTCAGTTAGCAGTTAGGATGGGATGGATACTAGAAGCAGGCCTTTGATTTTTTCTTTGCAGGGCTGGAGACTGAGCCTTGAGCAAGCTAAGCGAGTACTCCCCCTGTGAGGAACAACTCCAGAACAGAAGAAGGAAGGTTTATGAAGGCTTTGTTGCGTTGCATTTTGTTAGTTTTAACATGGATTTGCAGGAGGGGGAGAGTGGACCAAAAGCAAGAGAGGGAAAGAGCAATAGAGAGCTGGACTGAATGGACCGGAATGTGAGACAGGAAACCGCGAGAAGGCTGGTTCTATAGCGTCACTAGGAAGTCGTAGTAGGTTACACCTGTCTTGAGAACTAATCTAACTCATTTGTCAGAAAATGAGAGTAGGCAAAAGAAGAGGAGAAAACACTGATGACCATTTTAAAAGTCACTCTTAGAGACTGGGGACAGATGACCTCCGTGGCTGTACCTCTGCGTCTGCAGGGTACTTGACTATCCACAAGGTTCTTCACGTCCCCGCGCAGACTAGGGAAGCAAAACCTCACTGTCTAATGCCAAAAACGCAGCCTCAGTTCACTTCAGGCTTGCCCCCCTGGATCTGGCCTGGGGCTCAGCAAAGAGCAGCCCGGAGGCGGGGTCAAGGCTTCCGAGTTGGCATGGAGGCGGGGCCGAGGCCGGAGCCACGACTGGAGGCGGGGCCTAGGCGGCTGAATACCGCCCATAGGCGGGGCTGAAGCTCTGGATCCCTCCCCCAGAAGGCGGGGCCTAGGCGGCCGAACATCTCCCCCCCCGTAGGCGGAGCTGAGGCTCTGAAGCCCCCCCCCCGAAGGCGGATCCTAGGTGTTTGACTCCCCCCCCCCCATAGGCGGAGCTGAGGCTCTGGAGCTCTCCCCCCCGGAGGCGGGGCCTAGGCGTCTGAATACCCCCCCGTAGGCGGAGCTGAGGCTCTGGAGCCCTCCCCCAAGGAGACGGGGCCTATGCGTCTGAGTTCCGCCTGGAGGCGGAGCTGAGGCTCCGGAGCCCTCCCCGGTGGCGGGGCTGAGGCATTGGCGCTACCCACGCCTCCCGGAGATCCAGCTTAGGCCCCGGAGCTCTGCCCCTGCAGGTCTAGCCCAGACGCCGGGTCTCTGCTCATGGAAATTGCACTCAGCGGCGGAGTTCTGTCCGGTGGAGGGGTCGAGGCCTTTACGTTCCTCTCCCTCCCGTTGGAGATAGAGGCCAGGCCGCTGCACCATAGCATCACCCTCGGAGGCGGGGCCGAGGAAGCCGATCTTCCCCCACCCTTCGGAGGCGGAGCTGAGGCATTGTAGCGCCCCTTCTGGAGGCCGGGCTGTTGCATCTCAGCATCCCCCTAGGAGGCGGGGACGTTGCTTCGCAGCATCCCCTTTGGAGGCCGGGCTGTTGCATCTCAGCATCCCCCTAGGAGGCGGGGACGTTGCTTCGCAGCATCCCCTTTGGAGGCCGGGCTGTTGCTTCTCAGCATCCCCCTTGGAGGCCGGGCCGTTGCTTCGCAGCATCCCCTTTGGAGGCCGGGCCAAGGAAGTCGAGCCTCCTCTCTGGATGTGGGGCCGAGGCATTGGAGCACTCCCTTTGGAGGACGGGTCGAGACTTCGAGGAGGCGGGGCCGAGGAAGCCCAGCTTCTACCGGCAACCCGGGGAGGCGGGACCCAGGCCTTGGAGCTCCCAAACCCTTGGTGGCGGGGCCTGGGGTTTGGAGCCCCTCCCCCTGGGCGGGGCCCAGGAGTCAGCGCTCGGGTTGGAGGCGGGGCAAACGTTTTGTGATTGCACCGCCCCCTTATCTTTTGGCCTTTAGAAACATAGAGGTTTTCCCCACACTTAGCCGGAAGTTCTCGCAACGTTTCCGGCAGAGTTTTTAAAAGCTGACCTGGAAGCCCAGGCTCCGAGTCCTCTCGAGATCTTGGGTTGCTCTGGCTCCGGCCCCGGGGGACTGGTCGGCCGGGATGCGGAGCGGGTTCCTGAGCGGTGCCCGGCGCCTGTGGGCCCTCCGCGCCTTCAGCCGCTCTGCGCCGCCGCCCGAGGAGCTCTTCGCCCGCGAAGGGCCTCTCCGGGCCTTCCTGGAGCGCCGTGTGGGCTCGGAGGCCGGGGCTCTGGCGGCCGGTGAGCCTCAGCTGGCGGCGGCGGCTCGGCTGCTCAGCGAGAAGGAGCGGGAGTTGCGGGACACCGAGTCCTTGCTGCACGGTAAGCCGCCCGCTGCAGCGCGTTTGAAGCCACCCGCGTTCCGGACCTCGTCACTGGGGTTCTGATAGCCTCCGGCAGGCTCGGCAGGGATCCCTTGACTCGGTGCTCTGCCGGCCTGTACTCAGAAGCTACTCAGGTTCTCGGTTGTCTTCCCTACCGTCCTGGCAGCTCAGATGCTCAGGAAAGACGAGGTAGTCTGCAGCCCGGTGACTTCATGGTATTCACCCGTTAGTGTGAGGTGCAATGCACTGTATAGTTAGAATCCTAGACCAGGAAATCCGAGTTCTCAGCACGTTTCCCCCGAGATTCCGCTGCATTCGAGGCTAAATTGGAAGCTGAAGCGTCTGCTTTACTGAAGCCTCCAGAGACGCCCCTGCCCAGTAGACCCCACTTGGGAATTTTAGACTTGATTCTGAGAATTGTCTCGTTGAATAAAGTGGGAAAAGGGATTGATGTTGACTCCTGATTACATCCTCGGGGCTCCACTTTCACGTCGTGCACACATACGCAAACATGTGTACTCATAGCCAGCCAGACACACACACACACACACACACACACACACACGAAAATGGGAATAAAAAGTAAGGACTTTTAATTTCAGTATAACGAGACGTGCTAAAAACTAGAAAGAGGTGGTTAGGTGGTATAAGAGAAGTGACCAGACGGCAAGTGTGATCTCAATGGAACGAGTGCAGTATGGCGGACACAAGAATAGGTGTAGGAGATGGCAACGGAAGAGAAACGTGGAACCAGAAAGACGAAGGCCTGGAGTTGTTTCTGCAGAGCATGGGCAGTGTCTTACTTTTTCAGGCAGAGAAATGGCGTTATCTAGGGAAAATCTACCGCAGAGTTAGTGTGGAGAATAAATGAGTCAGGAAAAAGCTAATTACCATTCAAAGGAGAAACGGTGGTAGGTAGGCACAGAATTGTGACCTGCAAGGCACTAAGAAACAAGATTTGGTGATTATATCATACACATAGTTGGGCGGAATTACAGGGGGGTAGCGTCCTTCATCAGAATTAGTTCAATAATTTAAGATAGGGATACAAGTTGAGTTTCATTGAGGGGGGGATAGAGCTTTGCCATTGGATGCATATTTAGGTAATAAAAATAAATCTATAAGGATACTGGAACAGATTTCCATGTTGGTCTAGGAGAAGTGTGGCCTAGGAGAAAGCTGTTGAGCATGAATAGGCAGAGGGGTCAGGGTAGGTACTAAAAGATGAAAATTTGTAGAGACCGTAACAGGGACGAATTGCGTAGTACAGCACATTTATAGCAAGATGAGAAGAAAACCTTTGGGACTCGGAAAGAATTCACTACTGAATCTGTAGAAACCGGTTACTTACATGAAACGAGATCGTGCCAGCACCTGACTTAGGATGATCTCATCTTTTCCAGCTTATACGGAAAAACACCTTTAAATTTGGCAGCTTTACCAAAGAGAATTTTAATTAAAAGTCTGATTTGTATAATCAGGAAATCTAAAAATAACTTCTAGTTATGGAGAGTTAGTTGGTGTTTTCTTTCCCAACACTTGGAGCGAAGAAACTGGAGTTCACAACGAATAATTACTTAAAGAATTGGAAAAAACAAAACCTTCCAAAGTGAGAAGCCCCAGAACTTAGAGCTATAGTGTTGCCCTATGGAAGGCCCTGCATGTGTACCATCCCACCACCCATCTATGTAGAGTCTTCATAGGTCAGCGTACACTCTTAAACTGTGTGTATGTTTGATGTTTCAGAGAGCAAACAGTTTGTAATCTCCTTTCCTAGGTTGCATATGTCCATAGAACAGAGCAGCGGGAATGAGAAAGTAGATCTCTAAGTCACAAGTGAGAACTCAAAATAATCATGAAAGATACCTATTTTATCTCAAGGAAATGTTCACTGAGACTAACTTTGGACTGTAGCTTTCAATTTTGGCTTAGCTGTTAAAACCTTTTGTGCTTCTCCTGGGTATTCTAACTAGTTAAATGCATCTGTTTGGTATTGTAAAGCCTAACTTGGCAAATGGAGTCTATTTGTTGGGGCTGGAGCGAAAGCACGACTGTGGAGAGCACTTACTGTCCTTGCAGAAGACCCAGATTGTGTTCCCTGCACCCGCGCGGCAGCTTACGGCTGTCTGGGACTGCAGCCATAGGTGGTCCAGCACCCCAGTCTGTGGGCACAGCATACGCTTGTGGCACATACATCCATGCAGGCAAATACTCATACATATCAAATAAAACCAGTAAACATTTTTAAAATTTAACTTTATACGTATGAGTATTTTGCCTGTGTGTATACATGTGTACCACATGCATGCCTGGTGCCCATGAAAATAAGAAAAGGGTGTCAGTTCCCTGGACCTAGAATTAGAGATGGTTGTGAGTGAGCATGTGAAGGCTGGGAACTGAGCCTAGGTCCTCTGCAAGCGTAGCAAGTGCTCTTAATTGCTGAGCCGTTTCTCCATCCCTTAGTTTTTTTTTTTTTCCTCTTAAAGTCTATTATCATGACTTCTGTGGAGGTGAATTTAGCACTAATTAAGAAAACATAACTGTTGTTCTTCCTAGATGAGAATGAAGAGTTAAAGAAACTTGCAGAGAGTGAGATAGCTCTGTGTCAGAAAGAAATAACTCAGCTGAAGCATCAGGTATGGTATGTACACAAAGAGTAAAACATCTCTGCCCTTATTCCTTACGTTTCATCGCAGGCTGATAAGAGTCCAGGGAAGTAGCCTGTTACTATTTAGATAGAACTTTTGTTGCTGTCTTTTCTGTATCTTTCTATGAATATTTGTCTGCAAGTGTGTTTGTATACCGCAAACCTGTCTGGTGCGAGTTGGAGGCCAGAGGAAGGTGTCATATCCCTTGCAAATGGAGTTAAAAATTGTTAAGTTGCGTGAAGTGGTTCTGGAACTGAACGCAGGTTCTCTGGGAAAGTAGTCATTGTTCTTAACCCCTGAGCTATCTCCATCTCTCCAAGTCTTGACTTCTTTAGCTCGTGTCTGTCTTGCTGGCTTACAAGTGACAAACTGGAGGCCTACAATGTGATGTTTCCTAGTATGCACGTTCCATGAAGGGATTGCCAGGGTCAAAGGAGATTCTAAAGCGGAAAAAGACATGCTTCCTATTTCCCACATTTTCCATGCTACCAGAGTACAGGTCTCACTGATAAATTCACATATCAACTCTTACTAGGAAGGCAAAGGCAAAAAGATACGTTCAAAAGACAAATCTGCTTTTGCTTTTTTTTTTCTTTTCATTGTGGGAAGACAGTAGATAGGAAAGAGTCCCTAGGATGAGAATGTGGCGTTTATCTCAGTGTTGACAGAGTGCCGGAATCCTGAAACTTCCAGGGTCAATAGTTTTCCCTCCCATGTTAAGGACGCTTAACTGGCAAGTGCAAGATGAGGACCTCTCCTTTCTCCTTGCCTTCCTTATTAGGCTTGTGTTTTAACAGAGGAGGATTTCTTTTACATTCTACTTGTGTAAATGCTCCCAGCATTTAATTCCAAACTACCTGAGTAGGGAATTGATAGAAAGCGTGTAAGATTTCCGAAGTGGGGGTGGGGCGCAGTACAGTTATTAGGGTGTTTTCCAGCATCATGAGGCCTTGCGTTCAGTCCTCAGCACCATATAAAATCTGGTGTGGTGGTGCACACCTGTATTCCTAGCACTGATGAGGTGGAGGCAGGAGTATCCAAAACACGAAAGAGAGAATTCCAAGAAGAAATAAAAACAAACCCATCAAAAGTAGATGCGTTTCATAATATTTAAAATGTAACTGAAAATTAATGCCTTAATAGAAGTTATGCAGTATACGTTTTTCGTTAGCAAGATGATCAAACTGTATGGAAGAGCAATATTAGATGATTTGTTTAAAGAAACTCAGGTTACATATCTAAATCCTCTAATTGCGTAGCTTTGGGCATTAGTTTGAAGATTTCTTAGTTACAGGAAGGCGCTGTCTTTGTATTTACAGATCATCTCACTTTTGGTTCCTCCAGAAGAAACAGATGAGAGTGACCTGATCCTGGAGGTGACTGCAGGTGTGGGTGGTCAGGAGGCCATGCTTTTCACCTCTGAGATGTTTGACATGTACCAGCAGTATGCTGCGTTTAAAAGATGGCACTTTGAAACACTGGAATATTTCCCAAGTGAACTAGGTCAGTCTCTCAGTTAGGTTCCTCTGGCTGTGATAAACATGACCAAAAGCAACTTGGGGAGGACAGGCTTTGTTTCATCCTTCAGTTTACAGTACCGTGAAGGGACATCAGGGCAGGAACTCCTGGAATGTGGAGGCAGGAACTGAAACACAGGCATGGAGGAAAACTGCTTACTGGCTTGTTCCCTCTGGCTGTTTAGCCTGCTTTTATTATACACCCAAGACCCACGGGTAGCACCACTCTCTGCCTCATCCAGTGCCCCTCGCACATCAGTCATCAATCAAGGAAAGAGCTCACAGACTTCCCTACAGGTCAGTGTGTATTCATTTCTCAGTGAAGTTGCTTCCTAGATGATCTTAAACAGCACAGTTGTAAGTGGATGGATTTGTTTTTGTAAAGCATTGATTTATCAACAGTGTGTCCTGGGAAAGGGATAGCAAGATGATGATCAGAACTTATTTGTAAGGACTAAATTATTTACCTAATGATTTTATATAAAAATAGAGTTTTGAAACTTTCTGTAAAGTATGATGGAAAACCATTCCATGATAATCACTTACCACTTTGAAAATGGGGTTGTAGGATACTCTGGCCTCACATCTGTAATCTTAGCATGCAAGAGGCTGAGGCGGGAGAGTTACACTGTTCAGGACTAGCCTTGGCTACGGGAGAACTTGTTTCAAAAAGGAACCAAAACGGTGGTCTTTTAGCTGTTACTGATGTGAATTCAGCGGTGTTGTAGTTTATCAGCTGAACAGAAACATACGTTAAGATGCTGGGAAGCTGGCCCAGTAGTGAAGAGCACTTGCTGCTCCTGAGGAGGACTTCAATTCAGTTCTAGGCACCCACACGGTAGCTCACAACCACCCACAAATCAGTTCTAATAGATCTGATGCTGCCTTCTGACTCCGCATGCACCTGGCTCACATGTGTTACACATACATACTTGTACACTCAGACATAAAATTAAATAAATGCTTTAAAAATTCAAGATTATATTTTGAAACACCAGATCAAAGACTTGCTAAAGTTTTTCAATGTGCTTGTACTCTGTCATTAGCTTGTGGCTCTTTCAGCTCTATTTCATGAGAACACATGTGGTGGTCAGTTTAAACAATGCATGGCAGAATGATAAGAAGGACCCCGTGCTCCCTGTTTCCAAGGCGGCCTTAGGCATGCGTCAGCCAGCATCGGAGGCCCAGAAGCCTACAAACACATGAAGTTTGAAGGAGGGGTGCACAGAGTGCAGAGAGTGCCGAGGACAGAGAAGCAAGGCCGCATCCACACCAGCACCATGACCGTGGCGATTCTGCCCCAGCCTACTGAGGTAAAGCAGTAACGGAGCTCATGCATGGCCGCTCCCAGCCACTGTCTCCTGTCATTTGGTCCTCCTTTCATGTCTTGAGTTACTCTTGAAAATTTGATTCAAGAAGTGTAATTTTACAACAGAGGGTAAGAGTGAAAATGTGTATAGGTTGTCCAGATTTACACCAGGGTTTTTCTCCAGCAGTAAAGGGGCATTTTACACCTCCATCGTGGGTCAGGTAATGCTGTGAACTGATTGCCTGCCTCCCTTCCCATTGCAGGGTGGGTTCTCCAGATGCCATCAGGAAAGGACTAGTCACTCAGCACAGTTGCTACCTCTGACCCAGCTGTAGTAAAAGGGCCCCGAGTGTGTGTCTTACTTCATAAAGCAAGTTCTCAGTGTGTAAGATAACAACCTACTTTGTTAATTTGTCTTCTGCAAAAAGTGACAAATTAATTCACTTATAAAATGAGAGATAAATGAGTTGAAGATTTCTTCCTATTATTTTTAAGAAAAAGTACTACTTAGATGTCTGATAGGGTTGAAAGGCTTTCCTTCCTTGGTTTAATATCTGTGAGAAGACTGAGTGAGGAACAGAGGAGCTGAGAATGGGCAGCAGAGTTTGGTGTCAGGAACCCTGATAGCTTCCAGGATATGGGAGTGAGGGCCAGGTTCTGTCTAGCTTTTCTAGCAACTCTTAAGGGCGTTATCTTACTGCAGGATGATTGACATGCCATAGAGCAGTCTCTAGTTGCTCACTGGACAGATAGTTTTAACCATGGTGCTTCTGATGTTATCTCCTGGGATGGTGCATCATCCTGTTTGATTCCAGTGTTCATGGAATACATACCCTGCCTTCATGATCTTTGCCTCCAAATTACAGGTGTAACGTTTTAGAAATGGTATCCCCTCTCTCCCTAAAACAGTTTCATGAACTCAGAGTGCTATTAGTTTTTGTTTTATCTGCTAAAGTTTTTGAATTCAGTAAAACTCTACATCTTCTACTTTTTTTTAAAAAAAAATTGGGCTTGTGCGTGTAGATCTATGTATATGTGGCCTGTGGAGGCCAGAAGAGGGCACGAATCAACTGGAGCTGAAGTTAAAGGAGGCTGGGAGCCACCTGATGTGTTGACTAAACTCAGGTCCTCTGTAAGGGCAGCACAGGCTCTTCACCGCTGAGCCATCTCTTCAACCCTAAATCTCCTATTTTTAACTGTCCCCAATTGCATCATTTGTGAGGAAAAAGCTCAACTTTTGAGGATTAGGGAGTGTTGCTTTTGTTCCCTCCATTCAAAAAAGAAAAAAAAAACATTTAAATTTAAAATAATATCCTAACTCCAGTCTCTTTTTAAACTTTTAAATTTTATGTGATTTAGGTATGGCATGTATTTAACAGTGTGTTGGTCTCACCTGAAGACAGTTAGTACATACAATTGCTTCTTAAAATTGCAGCTTTTCTTTGTGTGTATAGATCAAACTGGTGATTAATCCTAAAGATTTGAGAATTGATACTAAGAGAGCCAGTGGAGCTGGAGGGCAGCACGTGAACACCACGGACAGCGCTGTTCGAATAGTCCATCTTCCCACAGGTAGGTGCCGGGTTTTCACGGGAAACTCTGAATCAAGATCAGTTTCTGGGGACTGACTGATTTTCCACTGAAGCAGATCTTCAGTTCCCAAAAGGAAAGAAACCGTTAAGGGCTCTTAACTAATGACTTGATTCTGTAGGTTCTGTAGCTGATGCTGTGTAGGATACAGAGTCAAGGAGAGGGAGAGGGAAGGCTAAGCACAGGGCTCTCCATGGTAGTGACGATGAAGAGAACAGAGTCCTGCCACCTGCCAGGTGGGTTTTCAAATATATGCTTAATAGATTTCACTATTTCAAAATAACCTCAGTGAGATAATTACCTAAAATATTTAACAGAAAGTGTTCTAAATCACTAGTTATTAGCAGTAGGGCTAAGATAGTAACAAGAACCCTGGTGGCAATAGAAGCATTGAACTTCCTACACAGAAACATGGTATACACACACACACAGTCTTAGATACAGTTTCAGGAGCATCTTTCTGTGGAGACTATGAAGTCCACGGCAATCTGAATCTAGATAACTGGGCAAACGGACTGTACTCTGCTGAGAGAACCATGCTTTTTAAGTTCTACTAGAGTACTGGGGTGGCTTGTGAGGGGCAAGGATGCCAGGTTTGTACTTTTCAGACGTCCCTTAACTAGAACAAATTGTCATAGTTTCTGCTAACCAGTAGTTAAGAAGACTGGTGGGCAGGTAGGATTTTATCCTTTTAACTACAGAAAACCATTAAATACTGAGGTGATAAGTGGAATGTATAAATAGAAATAGATAAAAAGTTCTGTTAACTCTAATACTAGGATTTGTACTACTATATATGTTCATTTTTATACGCCTTTTAAGATTTTGATAGCTAACTGAGGATGTGAAGAAGAAATGTATTAAAAATATTTAAAGTCTTCTGTTAAACTCTTGATTTATCTCAGAAAAGAAGAAAAGGGGTAAGAAAGAAGAGGAATAATCCTTGATAATAAAGATTTTTGTACTAAAACCAATACTCATATTGTTATTCAGGTATTGTTTCTGAATGCCAGCAAGAGAGATCTCAGCTGAAGAACAGGGAGCTGGCTATGAAAAAGTTACGTGCAAGGCTATACAGCCTGCATCTAGAGGAGGAAACTGCAAAAAGATATAATGCTAGAAAGATCCAGGTAAGAATGGGTTTCAGAAACGGGTAGTGTAGTTTTTACATTAGTGCTGTTCTTGTTTGTATTATAGGGCAGTACCCATGGAGAGCTTTACCTATTTTCTATAGTCAAAGGTGTTTGTCTTAGCTTTGTCAGAGTGGACCACGTCCCTACTCAGCTTTTAGTCCTTTGAGCTTTGGGAAGCAGGAATACTGGAACCTAGTGTTTTGTATTTGATTTTATGCCATACACAGTCCTTCCATGACTTCTTTAGTATGACCACCCATCTCCTTATCACCACTCCGGGATAATGAACTCCCAGAGATTACATACACATAAAATGTACACATAAATGTGCTGCTTCTGCTGTTTATATATCATCCATTTGCCAGACTCCGTCATTATGTCATCAGTATTTTGCTGATGGGAAATTAAAGTTTAGACTTAAGCCATAATGCATTGAAGAGGCAGAGGCAGGACCCAGGTACTGTGTCTGTACAATCTGTTCTCTGTGCCATTAATCAGGGACATAGACTTGGTTCTTGCGTTGCTGTAGGCCTCCTGGATCCTCATTCATCTCATCTTTCTCTCTCTTTCTCCCTATTTTTTAGGTTGGAACAAAAGGAAGATCAGAGAAAATAAGAACCTACAACTTTCCACAGAACAGGGTCACAGACCACAGAATAAACAAATCACTACATGACCTTGAGAGCTTCATGCAAGGAGACTGTCTTCTGGATGGCATGATACAGTCACTGAAGGACTATGCGGATTATGAATCTCTAGTAGAAATGATTTCCAGAAAAGACTAAGCTATTGTATAAAGCTATTTTTTTTATATAGACTAGGAAAATCCTAGAGTGAATCCTTGTGTGCAAGTACTTAACCGGTATTCTTGAGGAATGTAAGTTAACAGTTTCTCGGACTCTTCTCTATAAAATAGACACAATACTAAGCAGAAATATCTATGTTTTTATGATATAAAGAGACAGAATCTGTTAGTGAAATTAACAAGCAATAAAAGTCAGGTACACTGGGACTGGGAAGGAATGGCCTACATGAAGTTCCTAGAGTTCCAGAGTCAGGTCTCTTGCAGGGCATGGTGTAGCCCACTCAGTGGTGCAAAAGTTCTGGACTGCCCTGCAGCTGGGAACGTGGGCCTTGCAAACAGAGTACCTCAAGCTCATGGGGCCTGGTAAGCAGAAAGCCTCTTGTTAAAATGTGAACAAAATTTCCCGAATAATAAGCCTTGGTGGGCTTCTGTATCAGTTCCCCAGAGAAACGGAACCGAGAGGATGTAGGATGCATCCACAGAGATGCTGTAAGGATGCCCACATAGAGCACTCTGTCCAAGATCCACAGTATGAATCAGCTGGGAGGAGACCAGGAAGAGGTGATGGTTCACTTCACTTCAGAGGGAGTTTGCTGGGGAATGTTCTTTTGTTTGGAGGAGGCTGGGTTTTCTCTATTCAGGCATTCAGCCTGGCTGGGTAAACATGCTACGTTGCCCATAAGGGAGATGTAGATTAACTGACATTTCACTGATTTCAATGTCAGCGCCATCCAAAACTTGAGAAGATCTAAAGTAATCTGTTACCAAATACACTGGTAACAGCAAGCCAGATCTGTGAAATAGACTAATGGTTTCTTTCCAAGAGTACCCCTAGAGACTGTATCATGGAAGAGGAGAAATGAAATGTCCTGCCCTGCTTACAGTGTTTCTCCACCACCTGCTGCCGACAAGCTTCACAAACTAACCACAAAGAAAGGTGCAGGCTGCCGTAGTTTCAGTGTCTCCTTCAAAACCCAGGTGTTGCCAATGTGATATTAAGTATGGCAGCTTCAGAACTAAGGTTTTAAGAGTTCTTTCTGAATGGGGCTAAAGTCTTAACTGTCAAACACCCAGAGCCACTGCCCATTTTCAATAATGTTTTCATAAATTCAGTGTCTGAAATAATTGCAAACAAGACATTTTCACTCTCACACATATCAACTGGCACTACTTAATCATATATCAATCATCACACATAAAAATTCATGTTAAATCTCAAATACTTAAAACTAATAGTTGAGATTTCTCTGCTTTTTCCCCAGATGTGTTGGAGCTAACTTTCTCAAACTAAGATCTAACTATGTGCATAATCCAGTGGGTTTACCCTTAAGAGACCCCTGATCCTGATTTTCAAGACATTGCACTGGATTTTTATCTATGAAGATCAAACTAGATATTTTGGTACTGTGTGAGTTGTTTGGACATTAACACTTAAGACTTGGCCAGTTTACCCATACCTGTTTGGGTGGAAGTGTCACCCAGCCCCTGGCATCCATATACCCAAAGAGTCTGGAATGTTTGGGTGGAAGTTCCATCCCAACCCTCCTCCCCTGCGAGTTGCCTCAGTCCAGATTCTAAACCAAGCCAAACGATGACCCCACCCCAGAGATGTTCAAGGCCACTCCCACCCCAAGAACAAACTGGTCTTTTCCCATTTTCTTTCTGGGGGCTGGAGAGCCATCCAGGAGCGTTGGTTATTCATTAAATCTGGGCTTTTTATAAATTGGTTTGATTTGGATTATTGTTTCGGTGGAAAGGTTTATCAGAGTACAGAAACTTTTCAATTCCGTTTCTTGTGACTTAGTACTCTTGTTGCAAAAAAAATCCTATTGAAATGGGGAAGGTTTGACTGTTCCTTGCCACTAGGATTTAGGAGCCTCTAGCCTAAATAATAGAGAAATTATGAGGCACTTTCCCAGATTTTCTAGAATCAGCTATAGTCTTAAGTTTTTAGGAACAATTAGAATGGGCTTCTCTTAAATCAATTATATATATATATATATATATACAATTATATTTCAGTACACTTACTTTATACTGAGGACTTAGTGTCTCTCTCTACTGGAAAGTGAGCAGTACAAAACCATTAATGATAGGCAAGGGTTTTCAAGCTGTCTACAGTATTTAATACAGAAACCAGGTAACGTGAACAGAATCCTTCCCTTCTAATCTCATGGAAGGTACTTTACCTTTAAAAATACTTCTTAAATATGCCTTTCATATGTATGGGTGTTTTTCCTGCATGTGTGTCTGTACACGATGTATCTGCAGTACCCGTGGATGCCAGATTAAGGTATCTGATCTCCTGGGATTGTAATTCCAGTTAGTTGTGAACAGCCAGTGGGTGTTCGGAATCGAACCCAGGTTCTCTGAAAAAGCAGCAGTACTGATTGTATTTTTAGGACAGGGTCATTCATAGTCCTTGCATGATTGATGCAAATGTTCGTTAGACAGCTGTGATGATGATACTACAGCATGCTTATTTTTTGAAACAGGAAATTTTTGATTTTTCAAGACACGGTTTCTCTTTGTAGCCTTGGCTGTCCTGGAACTCACTTTGTAGAACAGGCTTGCCTGAACTCACAGAGATCCATCTGTCTCCAGAGTGCTTCCATTAAAGGTGTGCACCACCACTGCCTGACCTTGGACTCCGGAAGTCTTGCCTAAAGGAACTGGGTTCTTTTTTTGCTTTTTCACCTGAGTTCCTCAAGAATACCTCCCCCTAGTCCTGGAGGAATCAAAAGTCCATGCACTCTCTTGACTAGCTCTGAAATCCTATTAATTACAGGGAAATTTGACTTAGACTTCTAAGCACAATCATTATAAGTGAAAATAATGCTAAGATTATTTAAGAATGGCAAGCCAATGCAACCTTTTTCTTTCCCTGCCAGAATTTTAAGAGGTCTGCTGCCTCTGGAGCCCGCATCCATTACTGTGCACACCATCCACCAACGCTTTGTACTCAGTTCGCACTTCTCCGTTAGTGGAGATTTACACAACCCTCTCTCTTGTACAGCATTTTCGAAAACATGTTTTTTCTGTGTAGCCCTGGAACTCAATTTTCTGCCTCCCAATTGCTTGGATTAAAGGTGTGTGCCACCATACCCCATCAGACAGCATTTTAACATTCATTTAGCAAATTAGCTGAGATCCCTATGCAGTGCGATCAAAAGAAATATACAAGTTCACCCGGAAATCTACAGCAGACCCCAGATCTAGCTTCTCCCTTTCCGATTCCCTTGCTTGGTGAGCTGCAGGCACTTTTTAGGCAGTGCTTTGCAAGGTCGGTGCAAAGACTCAAACTTAGCTGACCATTCAAAATTCTCAACCCACGACGTCTCTCTATTTACAGTTCTTTTGTCACTTGCTTTAGTATCTATTTTCATTTACTGAAAATTTTGATTGCCAGTATCATTCTCATTAGTACAAAAACTTCCAGAAAGACTTCAGTCTTTCCATCCATTATAGAGGCTCAGTTCTCAAGTACAAAACAGAAAATGCTGCCAAGATTTTGGTAAGCATTATAACTACTTTTATGCAACAATTCAAATGTCAAAAGCCAGAAAACTAGGAATAAACAGCGAATTTAGATAAAAACTCATCCACGCAGCACGTGTGCGACTCAGCCTAGTCTTGGCCCCGCCTTCCTCTGGAGCTGTCATTGACAGCAAGGAACCTTAACTGAAAGTCAAATAATCTCGCCGAAAAGCAAGGGGGAAGTGGCAAGTGGTGGGGGTGGGCGTTTCTCCGGGCGAGCATCCTGTAGCTTAGGGCGCCATATTCTGAAACCGAGTCCGATGTTGCCACAAATTCAAGGTGTGCGATGCCCAGCATCACTAGCGGCGCCCTTCGGTTCGCTAGCAGACTTAACAATTAACACATTCGCTCCCACCCTTGCTACAAAATATACACCTAGCCAGGGCTCCTCCTGCCCCCAAAAGTGTGGAGTTTGACTTATTTGGGGAAACAGGTGTGCTGTCTTGCGCTTAACCTAGAAGGAAAAGGAAAAAAAAAAACACAGAAAAGCGAAAACAATTAACATCGTAAGGATTCCCGGTGGCAGAGAACCCAAAAGAATGCTGCGGCAAGGACTGGAGATCAGGCCGCACCCTCAGCCCCCGGTAGGCGCCTAGCCCAAGCTAGGCCGGGGTGCCTCTGCGCGCCATCCCGAGGGCAAGGGCGGTCCTCCCTTAGCCACCTGTCCCGCCCCACCCGGAGGGACCCGCCGGGCCCCTAGTGCGCAAGCGCCGACCCGCCAAGTCCTCAGCGCGGCCGGCAGGCAGGGCGCAAGCGCGGAAGCTCCAGGCAAGGGGCGGAGCCAATTTAGGAGGGAGAGTGGAGCGCGCCTAAATCCTAGAGAGGCGGGTCCGGAGCCGGAGGGGAAGGCCCTGCTTTCTGGGACGTCTGCGCTTCGGGCGGCGAGCTTTGCCGCTCGCCGAGCTCGCGCTTAACGAGACGATGGAGGAGGACATGGGCCCCGCCTGTGCCCATCTCAGATCTGCAGGCAGAAGTCGCAGCTGTCCGCAGGACACGAGGACTCGCGGGAAGCCGGTTCGCGGGACAGCGGGGGGAGGGCAGCACGGCGGGTCTGCGCAGGCGCCCCGCCTTCGCAGGCCACGCCCCCAGCCGCCTGGGCACGCCCTCCACCTCTTCGGGGAGGCGCGGAGTCGGGCGGTGGGCGGGACCCTGGCTCCGCGGCTGGCCCCGCCCCCGAGGCTTCCTATTGGGCGAGCGAGGGCGTCCCCCTCACACCGCCTTCGTATTGGCGCGCGCGTGCGGACGCCGCGCCCCATTGGTCTGTTCTGATTTGGGCACCAAATTCAAAGATTTTAAAAGTACCAGCTGGCGCCTTTTAAGAGCTACAGCTCGGCGCAGCGGCCTGTCGCCTCTTTCCTGTGGTCGCCGCCACTTCACCTGCGTCGGAGCCCGCGCCCTCCGGCATGAGCCGGCGCGTTTGCAGCGGTCTGCCCCGGCCGTCCTCCTGCCCCTGCGGCCTCGGCTCACGGACGGTCCCGGACGGTGAGTGTGGCGGGCATCGTAGGGACGGGTTCCCCGCTCTGTGGCTGCAGCCTCATGACCGGGTGCATGTGCAGATCGTGGGGTCCCGGGCCTCTGGCGGCCTCCCGGGCCAGGGGAGGAGGGTCGCCTGGTGCAGAGGGGGGACAGGTGTGTGACTGGCACGGGGTCCCACCAATCCATCCCATCCAGGTGTCCCGCCGTGGGGCCGTGCAGGTGGTGGCAGCTGCGCGCGGGATTCCACCCCAACCCCTGCATGGGCGCCAAAAGCCCCCTCCCCTCCCCCACTCCTGCCCGAGCTGTGACAGGGCTTTGGGTTTCCAGACTTGCCAGAGGCCCCATCTCCAGCCCCCTAAATCCCCTGTTCACAGTTGTTTAGCTAGCTCACTTCCTCAGTTTCCCAAACTCTTCTCCCTCTGCGTCCTGGCCGGAGAGCGCGGGAGATTGCGCTCGCGCTTATCTCCCGCCCTCCCTCCTCGTGCACCGCGCCCTCGGGGCAGCTCCCACCACCGACCCCCTCAGCATTTCTAGGGGCTCCTTCCCTGCTCCCGCCAAATGTAGAGACCCCCTTCTGTCCACCCTACCAAACTCAATGGGAAAAATCAATGGGAAAAGATCTATTTTCTCCTCTTTTTTCCCCCCTCTGAGTAAGTCTTAAGACCTGGAGTCCTCGGGGGAGGGTTTTGAAAAGGGCTTCCCCCGCCAAAAAAAAAAAAATCAAAAACATGAATTTGCCTCTTATTTAGTTGATGGTGAGAATCGAAGATTTATTTATTTTTTTACCCCCTGTGGATTGAGAATTTAATGGTCATTTGTTTCAAAGCCTGGATGAGAGTTGAGCAAACTCAGTTGCATATAACTCTAACATATATTAATTCTATATAATCTTTGTTGCCTCACAATGAAAGACAGATGGATCTATTTTACCCTAGAAATTTTGAAGCCGACGGCAAAAAACAATTCTTTGATAATCTTCCTGCCTCAGAAACGGAATTAGGTCTTTAGAGGTAGAAACTGGTGGATTAGCGCGTTGTGTTTGCAAAAGATCTTGAATCCTAAGTCAACCTTAAATGTCGGAAATGTAAAAGTTTTACGGTGGAATTCTTTTGCTCAGCTTTCCTCCTCAGGAAATACGTGCTGCCTCCTAGTTCCCTCCCCGACTTGGTTTACAGCTTTGAAGACATTTTTTAAAAATTACTTTTGTCCATTTACATATTTTTTCCAAGTAGACTTAAAGGTTTTTTTCCTGTGAATTCTACTTTTGGTCACCTTTCGTCAGGTTTAAGCAGAGAAGTGAGGGGGCTTGACCTTGGCCACATGGTTGGACTGAGACTGAAACTTACTTAACAGATGGAAGAACTAGAGACTTTAATGCCAGTTTTAATTAGTGTTTGATAGGGAATGTAAAGTCACTATTGATGCGAAGGAAAGGCCAGGCTTGGTGCACTTTTGTAACTCTCAAACGGGCCCCCTCCCCCACCCCACGGACTGGACTGGGGAGGAATAAAGTTCTAAACAGTGAAACGTGAGTTTTATCTGTAGGTTCGTTTTAAGGAAAACCAAAAATCTCCTAATAGAATAAGCTGGTTGGAACGTTCACCAGAGATCTTTCTCATTTGAAATTTTGCTTCCTAAATTTTTACTTGTGTGGAATTGATGTTAACAATGGAGGAAATGTGAGGGAGCTTGGCTCAATGTGGGTGACTGACGCTCTTGAGTA